TCCCTGTCCCCCACCACACCATCACATCAGCCAGAACCGAGTGACAGTGGTGCAAATGACATCTTGTCCTGCTCTCAAGAAAACATTATGAGGCACTACCAAACAACAGGATCACAACAAGACAAGCTCCACAGTTTGAAAAGATGAAGCTAAGATCAGAACCTGAGCTGCCAGGGAGGCCACAAAGATCAGGCCAGGAATTTAAAGCTACAACCTAGGGGCTGGAGTGATACGACAGTGGGTAGGGCACTCGTTTTGCATGGGGCCAACTCAGGTTCAATCCCCGACATCCTAAACTCCTCCTCTGACTCCTGAACGACCATGATACCAGAGGCACACAAACCTATCTCCGAACCCAGGGGCTTTTGGCAATAATCCCTCTAGGCTTATTACTAAAATAACAGAAATCCAAAATCGCATGGCCACTCTTGCAGCCACACGACATCATATGCTCTTCATAATTGGCAATAGAAAATAAATCACCTAATGATATCTTTTTGGCAGGTCTGAATGTTGGGGAAAATTCCAAAAAATAATGTTGAGTCTTTTATCATAATATTGGATGTGATCAAGGTAGAGAGAGAGTAAAGTGGAAATCTGCCACACAAGCGGGGGTGGTGGTGGTGGAAGGGGGGATATACTGGGGTTCTTGGTGGTGGAAAATGTGCACTGGTGAGGGGACGGGTGTTTGATCATTGTATGACTAACCGAGACTTAAACTGAAAGGCTTTGTGACTGTTCTCCTCATGGTGATTCAATAAATAAAACTTAAAATAAACAAAAAAACAGGAGTATGATCCTAAGGGTGACAGCCAAGAAGAGGAAGAAGAGACAGAGGTCACAGGAAGAAAGGCGCTGGGTGGGAGGGAGGCTCATCTGGGTTCCAGATGAGAATAGGCATTGCCGAAGGTTCTCGTAAAAAATCCTATGCTATCACATGGAAGGAAGTTTCTTTCCTAGGAGCCCACTGGTTTCTTGAAAGGCCTCATTTACATGTTTCCAATCTGGAAGTAATAGATGCGGTGGATATTAAAGGTCACAGTAAGGAAGAGATTTTAGGCATAAATACCACCAGAACCATCATTTCATGTTTCCTATTTTTTTTCTTAGGGGAAACAAAGTAGTCTAAAAGTTTGTGTATTCATGAACCAAATAAATGAACCAAAATGACGTTTAAAAGAATTGCACACAAACTTTTCTATGGGTGGGAGGGAACACCTATTTCCATGAACAAATTTCATCGAAGATGCTATTCAGAGTGAGATAAGCATTATGTCTGGTTTCTTTTTTTAACACCTTAATTCAATTTTATCGTCAATGAGTCTTTGAAAAATGAGCAAGGCCCGGGTTCAAGATTCAGGGCATGGCTGGAGAATAATTTTAGCAATACTCAAAGGTTAAGCGTCCCTTTAATGTCAACCAGCTGCTTTCTGGTCAAGCTCATCTCCATGTGGTGTACGGATGTCCAGAAAGACTGCACTCTGATCTCCAGGGGCTCTCAGTTCAGAAAGGAGGATGGGGCAGCCCGTTCAGGTATAATCCCAATAAAACCAGCCCACAGACAACCACAGTGAAAAAGCAGGCATAGTGGGTGCAGAAACTAAGAAAAACCCTCTCACTACCATCTCACACCAGTGAGAACAGCACACATAACAAGTAATAGAAACAATCTGGGTTGGCGGGGATGTGGTGAAAAAGGAATTCTCATCCACTGCCGGTGGGAATGTTATCTGGCACAACTCCTGTGGCAGATATGGAGAGTTCTGGGTGAACTTAGACCAAACTGCCAGGGCCAGAGTGATAGTACAGCGGGTACGGCATTTGCCTTGCATGCAGCCAACTTAGTTCAAACCCCAGCATTCCATATGGTCCCCTGAGCACTATCAAGAGTAATTCCTGAGTGCAGAGCCAGGGCTAACTCCTGAGCAGCACCGGGACTGGGTATGACCCAAAAAAAAAAAAAAAAGAATTGAACTGTCATATGACCCAGCAATTCCAGTTTTGGGCATCGTCCTCCCAAGACATAAAACATAAAAACACTCTCCAAAGGACATATGCACACCATTATTCCTTGCTTCTTTCAGTACAATAGCTAAGATATGGAATCGACATAGGTAGCCAATGATGGATGGAGAGGTGGCATATATACACAACGGAATACAATGCAGCTGCAACCTAGTTGGAACTGGAAGATTCCTAGTTGGAATCAGGCAATTTGCTGCAACCTAGTTGGAACTGGAAGGTACCATGTTGAGTGAAATAAGCCAAAAAAAAAAAAAAAAAGACACGGGATGATCTCACTGAACAGTGGTGTATAGAATACTGGATGAGAAGATGTAATGTAAGGAAGAGGGGTTGCCTAGATCAGCCTTGACCACATTGTTTAGAGAGGAGAAGGGCAGAGAAGGGGAAAAAATATCAAGGCGGGAAGAAAATGGGAAGTAATGGGTGAACAGGCACCAGGGCTTCAGTTATACTGGGGATATGGGTGAGTGGCAGAGCCATATATCCGAAACAGACTCAACAACCCCCAAATCATGAGATCTAGGCTGCAACCACTGGAACTTTGTAATGTGCCTGGCAAGTTGACAGGTGGAGATTGGACGGGGGTGGAGGGTGGGTAGGGGGCTTGGGGTGGGAAGGGAACATGGGAACATTGGTGGAGGGAAGTTGATGCGGGTGGTGAAATTAATGTTGAAATATTATATGCCTAAAACGCGACTATTAGTAACTTTGTAAATCACAGCTCTTTAATAAAAATAAACATTTTAAGAAAGTAAAGCTTCTCTCGAGATTTCCTGATTGAAACATTACGGACCATCCATCTTAGTTGGATTTTTCTCATTTTTGGGGAGGGGGATACACATGGCAGTGTTCAGCACTTACATCTGGTGGGGCTTATAAAGGGTGCAGGGGTCAAACTCTGGTCAGCTGCGTGCAAGGCAAGTGCCCTACCTACTGTACCATTTCTCCGGCCTCTGGACTTTTCTCATTTTAATTTTTTAATTTTTATTTATTAATTATTTTTGCTTTTTGGGTCACACCTGGTGATGCACAGGGATTACTCCTGGCTCTGCACTCAGGAGTCACTCCTGGCGGTGCTCAGGGGACCATATGGGATGCTGGGAATCAAACCTGGGTCAGCCGCGTGCAAGGCAAACGCCCTACCCGCTGTGCTATCTCTCCAGCACCTCGTTTTAGACAGTGTTTAGCTTGAAACCCTAAAGCTCTGTCTGCCTACTGGACTGTCCAGGTTTTACATATCAGCAGTTTGGCCCGTCAAGTTAAATGCAAACACTCAGGGCACTGGAGGAGGAGAGCTGAAATAAGTGTCTTCTTAACCTTCAACGCCCAACATCTGGCAGCCAGAAGAGGCTTTTTGAACGATGTTCTTCTGAGCCCCCAAATTTTCCAGGTGGAGTCAGGAGGGAGGGCCCAGAAATTCCTGCTGCTCTGTATCATGGCCCGGGAGGATGAAGACCTGGGTCAGGGTTTAATGCTTTTTGGGTTGCTTTGGAGTCATACCTGGCAGTGCTCAGGTTACTCCTGGCACTTCACTCAGGCATCACTCCTGGTGGGTTCCAGGGACTATATGGCGTGGTGAGAACAGAGCTGGGTCTGTAATGCACAGCACAGCACAGCACAGCACAGCACAGCACAGCACAGCATAGTCCTCCCGTTGTTCATCAATTTGCATGAATGAGCACCAGTAACGTCTCCATTGTGAGACTTGTTACTGTGTTCGCATATCGAATACTCCATGGAGAGTTTGTCAGGCTCTGCCGTGCAGGCAGGATACTCTTGGTAGCTTGCCAGGATCTCAGAGAGGGGATGGAGAATTCGAACCCGAGTCGAATGGTGAGTGGTAGAGCCATATATCCGAACGCCTTACCCGCTGTGTCTGTCATGTGCAAGACAAATGTGCTACCCTCTGAACTATCGCTCTGGCCCTGGGGATGCGTTATTGCTACTGGAGGTGCTCATTTTTCTGAACATATTCATTGGGGGGAAGGGGCAGCAAGGATGGGAAGGATGTCTGCCTCTGTGTAGGCAATGGGGAATTTAGAAACCTGAGGGCAGGAACCCGGGAGGGGGCCTTGGCAGTATAAGCCCCAGCATCCAGGACACTCTTAACTGCAAATGTTGGGTGGGAGCGGGGTGTGGAAGAAGGGGAGAAAGAGAGAAAGGAACCTGATTGACAAGCTTGATCTCCACACCAGCTGGAAGTTAACAACGGCCCTAGTGTCTGGGTAGCCTCTCTCTCAAACCCCTTCAGGATGATGGGATCACAGGGATTTCAAAGGTAAATCAGGGCACGAGAGACCGTGCAGGGAATTAAGGCACTTGCCTTGCATGAGTCTGACCAGGATTGGATCCCCAGCATTGCACAAGGTCCCTTGAACAATGCCAGGGGTGATCCCTGAACACAGCCAGGTGTGACCCAACCCTACTCCCCCCCACAAACCAACCCCAATGGAAAGGTAGACCCTAGCGTTTCATTGTCGTGACCCCCACCCCATGGCCTGCCTATGGGGCTTCGTCCCACCACTCACTGCCTGCGTACCCTGCACAGGCAACCATCCTTAGGATCTACAACGTCTGCCTACGGGTACACGTTGTAGTACAGCGGGTAGGGCGTTTGTCTTGCACGTGGCGGACCCGGGTTCGATTCCCAGCATCCCATATATGGTTCCCTGAGCACCGCCAGGAGTAATTCCTGAGTGCATGAGTCAAGAGTAAGCCCTGTGCATCGCCGGGTGTGACCCACAAAACAAAACAAAAACAGAACGTCTGCCTAGGCTGTTCGCTCCTGGGGGGCTCGAGGGAGCAGGTGGCCTTTGAGCTGCCTCCTCCCTCGATCTTTCTGCTGCTTCTCTTGCCTTCAGGTCTCAGATGAGCCGCGGGTTGTTAATTCCGCCCCGTGCACCGCGGGTCCTTCCAGTTCCCCACCACCCAAGTCTTCACCGACCGCTTCCAGGGGGAACGTTTGCCGAGGACAGGCGGCGGGCAGGCCCGGGGCGGGTCGGGGCGCGCGCGGAACCCGCGGGCGGCGTCGGCGTTTCCCGGCGGCCGCGGGGAGCGTTGAGGGAGCGCACAGGAAGGGCCGCGCGCTCGGGTCGGCGCGGTGAGTGCGGCGAGGCCGGGTTGCGGGCCGGGCGCGCGGCGGGCGGGGCCGGCGGGGCGGGCGCGGGTCGCGGGCAGCCTCACTGGGGGGTGGGGGGGTGTCTCCGGACCCTGCTGCCGCCCCTTCCCCCGGGATGGCCCCCCGTGGCCCCCGACTCTCCTGGCGCGCGGGTCAGTGCGTCCGCCCGCTTCATTCATTCCCGGGGCCGTGCGGGGCTGGGCCGGGGCGGGCCCGGGCCGGTTCCGATCCGGGGTGGGGAGGCCCAGAGCAGACCCGCAGCCGGGCTGCGCCGGGCAGAGGCGTCGGTCGGAACCCGTGCGAGCTGCTCCGTGGCGTGGAGCTTGGAGCGATCGCCCAGCGGGGTGGGGAGAGCCCCTTGCACGCGGCCCACCCGCGTTGCATCCCCGTCCCCCGAGTACCGCCGGGAGGGACCACCCCGAGCGCAGAGCCCGCGGGAAGCCCCGAGCTGCGCCAGGTGTGGGGTCCAGAGGAGAAGGCCGTGGCCGGCTTGGAGTGCAGGGCAGCGGGTCGGTTGCCCGTGGCCGGGGACACTGCATCCGCCAGGCGACAGAGTTCCAAAGCGCACTCCCAGCCGTGCAGGTGGGCAGCTCAGGGACCAGAGGCCCGAGCTGGGAAGAGTCTTCCCCAACCCTCACTGCAGGCTGGACGCTAGTTCTTGGGACCTTGACCCACTCCGTCCTCCCCTCTTCTCCCCCCAGCTAGGGTGTCTGCATTCTGCGTTTCTCCACAAATCACAATCACAAATCATCCTGTTATTCGTCGATTGCCTCGAGCAGGCCCCAGTAACGTCTCCTTCATCCTAGCCCTGAGATTATATTCAAGGCTCTTTAGGAGAATGAGACCCGTCATTGTTACTGGTATTTGGCATATTTGGTACGCCACGGGGAGTTTGCCAGACTCTGCCCTGTGGGCAGGCTACAGTCGATAGCCTGCAAGTTTGTCCAAAGTAGGAATGAGATAATAAGGTGTCATAATAAGATGTTGCGCGGCCGCATCTGGTTTTTATAGTCTCTGAGTCTTGGCCGCTGATGGGATTACACGGTGCCAGGGGGCCAGTTGGTGGGTGTGACCCCCGCCTACTGGAATTTGGAGGATCTGGGTGGAGGATGCTCAGCCCAAATCCGAGTAGGCTTGGAGATCTCGGCTCCGGAACCCGCGTGACTTTGTCCCTCTGCCAGTACCTTCATGTGTGCGGAGAGTGGTCTCAGCATGGTGGTGGCTGGTGCTGGAGGTCTTTGGCTGCCGGAGCCCTGGTCAGGGCAGGGAGGAAAGCTCAACCCGCTCCCCTCCAAGGGGTCCCGGCGAGCGAGGACTGTCAGGCGCGGGGGCAGAAGACTGCACTCTTCTCTTCCGGGATCTGGTTTTTATAGTCTCTGAGTCTTGGCCGTTTCTCCACATTATTATTATTTGGGATGGGGGAGGGGGCCCATGCTTATGCCCAGCCGGCCTCAGAGATCACTCCTTGTGGTGCCTAGGTGTCGGGGATGGAGCTGGGGTCGACTGAATGCAAGGCAACTGCTTTTCCCTCCTGTACTGTCTCTCCGGGCCCCATGCATGTGTTGTTTTGAATTTTAGTTTTTGGGTATTGGGCTATACCTGACTCGTCTCAGGACTCAGTCCTGGCTCTGTGATAGGGGATCGCTTGATGGCTCTGCTCAGAGGACCATGGGCCCAGTGGAGTCACCTGCATGTGAGACTAACTAGCACCTTATCTCGTTAGCCCCCCACATGGTTATCTTTGTTATATTAGTGAATATAATATTATTTTTTGTTAATATTATCATCATAAATCATTTGTGACAGAAAGTTCCCCGGGGACCCAAATGGCCTTAAAACAGACTGTTGACTCTTTAGTTCTTGATTAATTGGCTTTTTCCTCTAATTGCTTCTTTTAGGTGATTTTTTTTAAATTTGCACTCAGATTTCACCTCCCGGACAAGGAGCCCCCAAACCTGTTATCTTCTATCCAATTCTCCGTAGTTTGAAACTGCTAAATCCAGACATCCATTGCCCATTTCCAAAGAGACATCAGATGGGAATCTCATTCTGTTCTCTGCAAATGCAGGCGGGCAGGCACTCTCCTCCAGGGGTAAACCCACTCAACCTAATGACTTGTCATTATCCACCCAGTCAAGTGCAAACCTGCTTTGACCCCACTGGCTCACCTGCACTCAGCCCATCACCAAGTGTTTCCAAATTCCCTTCTCAAAGATCTGGACCCATCTTCTTCCTGCCAGGATGAACCTAAAAAAGATACTGTGGCAATAATGAATTCCTTTTGATGAAGCTGGCTGGTGTATTTTCCTTTCTGCTACAAAGTGCTCTTTCTGTAGCTCAGCTGTGGTACCAGTCCCTCCCTTGCATTGATTTCTGGTCATCGACATAATATCCATATTAATATCCATAGCCTGGATGCAGGGTGCTTGGCCATCTTCTCTGAGCTTCCCATTGCTCTGCCTCCATTGAGGTCTCTGCCTCTGTTTCACGTGTGTGGTGAGGCTGGTCTGGATCGGGGCCTGGGAGTACTGGGGAAGAGGAGGACAGGGCCAGGAGGTGCTCAGTGTCAGGACACGGCCCTTACCGGAGGTGATGTTGAGTTGGGGACAGACTGCCAGCCCCAGTAGTCACCAGGAAAGGCACAGCAAGAAGAAGGGGGGAGTAGGCTAGAGGCAGACCAGGGTGCTCAGATATCGGGGATGGGTGGGGGATGGGGAGTTGGAGGGGTTTGCTCAGCTGATTGGCAGGGCTTTCCCTCAAGTTGAATTCTATAGCAGTTTCAACTCATTTCTTTCTTTTTTTTTTTTTTTTTTTTTATCAATGTGTGTGTGTGTGTGCCGGGGCAGTCAGTTCATGTGGGGACCTTGCTCTTTGAGTTGGCCTTTTTCTCTTGTGTGATTGATTCTCTCCAGATTTTGCTTCCACACCCCAAAGACGTGCACAGAAGTTTGCGGGTGCATCTTAGTTGTCCCCTGGCAGTGTGGGTGTGGGTGGGTACCATGGAAGGGGGCCCCTGTCTGGCTTAGACTCTCTCTCCCACCTGTCCTGAGCTGGTCACCTGCAACTCTGAACCCCGAGGCCCCTTGAAGTGATTCTTGACCCGTCTGAGGACGTGGCGCCGCTTGGCCCTGGAGTGCTGGTGGTGACTTGGGCTACCCCAGGGTGCTTGGGGCCTCCGGAGTCCCACCCTCAGGGGACCATGTGGTGCCAGGGATGGAACCAGGGTCACTGCATGCAGGGCACATGCCTGAGCCCCTGCAATCTCTCCAGCCCTTCTGGGTTTTTTGTTGGAAGCTTGGTGATATTTTTGTTTCTATCACTCCAGGTAAAGTGGGTTTTAGCTGCTTTTCTGTTTCCCAGAAGCTCTGGGCTGCTTGTTCCTTGAATTCTTCAGCACAAGGGCAGAGGACAGCCTGCGCTTGCTCAGTCAGAAAAGGTCTAGAGTCTTCAGGGTCAGCAGCCTAGCTCGCCTTTGTCGATTTCCTTGTGTATAGTTATTTAAAAAAAAAAAGTTCCGTTTAAATATTTTCAGGTTAGGAGCCAGAAATGTGGGTCAGCCGTCGAGTTACCTGCCTTGCACATGTGGAACCCCAGGTTTTGACCCTTCCCCCCAGCACCGAAAAAATATATACACACTGATGTGTTTGTTTAGAAAAATAATCACTGTCACTATCACTGTCCTCCCATTGTTCATTGATTTGCTTGAGTGGGCTTGAGTAACATTGTGAGACTTGTTACTGTGTTTGGCAGATCAAATACGTCACGGTTAGCTTACCAGGCTTTGCCGTGCGGGTGAGATACTCTTGGTAGCTTGCCGGGCTCTCTGAGAGGGGCAGAGGAATCAAACTCGGGTCGGCCGTGTGGGCCGCGTGCAAGGCAAACGCCCTACCGCTGTTCTATCGCTCCAGCCCAGAAAAATAATGTTCCTTGTAAAAACTTCAATGGCATGTTGCAATATAAGCAATAGATGTCACCCATTATCCTACAGACAACAGGGCACTCACACTAGCGTCTCCTTATTAGTAGAATTTTTTCATATATATTGATATTTGGATATAACTGGCGTAATATCGATTGTAGTTGGTGCTGGGACCTGAAGGAAATCACTCCATAGCCCTCTGGGTTCTTCAGAGGCTGACAAATCACCAGAATGCCAGAGAGATTTGAGGAAAAGTAGAAGGAAATGCCTATCTTTTGTCACGGCTGGGAGACCTGGCAAAGCAGTGTCCACTGACCACATCCATCAGTCACCTATAAGGCTCCAAACTCTTTAAATCAGCCCAGCAGTTGGGAGGATCCTCCCAGGATGGGAGAAGTATGCTGAAAGTAGACTCTAGACCAAACATGATTGCCACTCAACGCCTCTTTTGCAAACCACAACACCCAATAAGAGAGAGAGAACAAAAGGGAATGCCCTGCCACAGAGGCAGGGTGGGATGGGGGGGATGGGGGGTGGGAGGGATACTGGGATTGGTGGGGGTAGAGAATGGGCACTGGTGGAGGGATGGGTACTTGATCATTGTATAACTGAGACCCAAGCACAAAAATTTGTAAATCTACAACTGTACCTCATGGTGTTTCACTAATTAAAAAAAAATCAAACCAGCAGGAGATGAGGACTTGGGGAAGAAAGGCTCATCAGTTGGGAAGCAAAGAAATGCAAAAGTCTGTTGCCTACTTCGCTGAAAAGGCCACTGAAAAGGCTGGGAGATTAGGGACCCTGTCCCAGAAAGAGGCCCCTTTATAGAGAGAGGCTCACCAGTGGACACCTTTTTCAGAGACTGCCCCATCCAACCTTCTTGCCTGGATATGATCTCTTTTGGACAGAGAAGTTCTGGGGTGGTTGGTTTTTGCTCCCCTAGAATGGCTTTTTTTTTTTTTGCTTTTTGGGTCACACCCAGCAATGCACAGGGGTTACTCCTGGCTCTGCACTCAGGAATTACTCCTGGCGGTGCTCAGGGGACCATATGGGATGCTGGGAATTGAACCCGGGTCGGCTGTGTGCAAGGCAAACGCCCTACCCACTGTGCTATCACTCCAGCCCCACCCCTAGAATGGCTTTTTATCCTGCCAGTTTTACTTAACATTTTGTTGTACTTAACATTTTATTTTGCTTTACTTTTGGTTTTGGGGCCACACTGGTGATGCTCAGGGGTTGCTCCTGGCTCTGTACTCAGGTGTTCTGGGGACCATATGGCCAGGCATCGAACCTGGGTCGGCTGCGTGTGAGGCAAGCACCTTACCCCACTGTACTGTCACTCCGAGTCCTTAACAGTTTGAGTCTTTTTTTTTTTTTTTTTGCTTTTTGGGTCACACCCGGCGATACATAGGGGTTACTCCTAGCTCTGCACTCAGGAGTTACTCTTGGAAGTTTTCGGGGAACCATATGAGATGCTGGGAATCGAACCCTGGTAGGCCATGTGCAAGGCAAATGCCCTACCCACTGTGCTATCGGTCCAGCCCAGTTTGAGTCTTTTGAACGACAGCAAAGATTCTTAGTGACGCCCTCCTCCCCCCAAAAAAAGCTTTGTAGGGGAAGAAGAATTTTTCCTTGACTCTTGTGTTCCTAGTGGGGGGGTCTAGAAATAAGACGGGCAAGTTAGCTGGGGAAACGTGCGAGGGATCTGTTTCCTGTAAGTCTGTGCCTTCGGAGGGAAATGAAGAGCCCGAGAAGCAGGCGTGGGTCTTGGAGGTCATGGGGTGGTGCAGTCTGAAGAGGGTTGATCCCAAGGAAGGCGGGAGAGTAAGGGGGTGGCGGTCATTGGGTACAGGGCCATTTAGCAGGCTTCTGGGGCAGGCTGCTGTGGTGTCCCTGTCTTCGCAAGGAGGGGTTTTCCTCGGGGTCCAGGGAGGATGCATCTCTCTAGAGGGTTGATCTGCTTCAGGCCAGAAGCACTGGTGAGGCGGCTCAGAACTCTGCTGCCACCTGAGCAGGCTGATCGACTGTTTCAGACTGGGGACCTCTGGTGTTGGGTGGAGAGAGAGGCTCCCTGCCCAGGTGCTCCGGCTTTTGCCTCTTTCTGGAGAGCTCCCTGGGCAGGCAGCAGTATGATGAGATCGGGGCAGGGTGCTAGGGGAGAGGAGACAGAAATAGAAAGGTGGGAACAAGGGAGTTACTCATGGCAGAAATGGGGCATCTGGAGCCCTGGGGGTGCTGAGTACCCCAAGCAGGGAAGGCAGGTGTTCTCCCTTTGTGCTCTTTCTGAGAGGGTGTCTCTCCTCTGCCCACACCCCAACTCTCCCGGGACCCGCCTTATGCCCAGGCCTGCATGCCGTGTGTCTGGCGGAGACAGTCTCATCACCTGCTGGGATGCCCTCATGGTCTGGCTGCTCAGGTCCTGATCTCGTGGTCCACGTTGTTGCCAAGGTTCTGTGTGGTCTCGGTGCAAAGCTTCCCTTTCCCCTAACTCCAGTCTCATACTTGTCTCATGCAACCTCTGGATCTCTGTGCTGGTTTTATTCTAATCACTAACTTCACAGTGACCAGAGCAGTTCACAGCATTTGCATTCTAGTGAGGGATGGTAAGCTGCAAACTGGCAGATGCAGATTTTCAGAGGTGTGAAGAACAGCCACAGATATGACATACAGTGTCACCTTGTTTTAGTAAAGCAGAGCTATTTTGCTTGTCTTACAGGAGAGAGTGGGGGTGTTGGTCTCACTGTGTCTTTATGGAATTTGATCATTGAAAAGGTTTTAGATGGGGCTGCAGAGATGTACAGCCGGTAAGCGCTTGCCTAGCACCCAGCTGACTCTTCCTCCCCCAGCACCAAATAGGGTCCCCTGAGCCCCACCAAGAGTGACTCCTGAGTGCAGAGCCAGGAGGAACCCCAGAGCACCACCACAAGCTCTGTGGCCCCCAAACCATAATAAACTGAGTTTCACGAGTGTCCTGGGTTAGTCTTATTACTGTGGTGATCGCTCTTTGTACTTTAGAAGTCTTCCAGAAAGTGCCATGTTACACAGCCATGTGCAGTTCTTCTACTTATTTCCCTACTAAGAGCCTGGTGTTTGTTTTGGAGCCCCACTGTTTTGGGCAGTGCTGGGAGGACCGTGTGGTGCTGGGGATCACCCCGGGCTCCTCCATGCAAAGCCTGGAGCCATCTGACGAGCCACCTGACGAGTCATCATTTTAGAACTGTCTAGTTTGAATAAAGCCCTTGACATACTTAATTTGTTGTGGAGTCCTTTACATATATTGAATGAACAAATAATCTATGGTGTAGTGAGACTCTAGAGAGAAAGTAGGCTGGAGAGATAGTATAGAGGTTACAGTGACTGACCCAGGTCTGATCCTGGCATCAGATCTGCTTTCCCAAGCATCAACAGGAGTGATCCCTGAGTGCAGAGATAAGAGTAACCCCTGAGCATCACTGGATGTGGCAGAGAGAGAGAGAGAGAGAGAGAGAGAGAGAGAGAGAACATAAGCAGGAGGAGCACAAAAATGAGAGAAGGAGTGGGGGAGAGAGAATCAGCAGGAGGGAGCCTGGAATCTCCTCCCTGTTCACTTCACTTCTGCTTGAGGAGGTGATGAGAAAAGGGGAAATAGTGTAGGTGAGGTGGAAAAGGAGAAGAAAGGAAGGAGAAGAGGTAGGCAGGTGGGTCAGGGGTGGGGAGGATGAGAGACTGAGTGAGCATCCTTAAACCATTTCCTTGGGTAATATTTTTCTTTTTCTGCCTCTACTAGCCTGGCACATCCCTCGGAGAAGATGACTGTGTTCTTCAAAACGCTCCGAAACCACTGGAAGAAAACTACAGCGGGGGTCTGCCTGCTGGCTTGGGGGAGCCATTGGCTCTATGGAAAACACTGGTAAGAATGGTTGTCTGCCTCTCCCTTCGACAGCATCTGCCCAAAAGCCCTCTTGTGCTCTGCTCAGCTCTATAAACACGGTGGTGTAAAAGAAAAAATAAGTGTTAAAATAAGGGCTGGAGTGATAGTACAGCCGGGAGGGCGCTTGCCTTGCACACTGCCACTGACCCGGGTTCAATACCTGGCATCCCATCTGGTGCCCTGAGCACTGCCAGGAGTGATTCCTGAGTGCAGAGCCAGGAGTAACCCCTGAGCATCGCCAGGTCTGGCCCCCCCCAAACAAAACAAGTTAAATTGAGAGAAAGTTGCTTCTTGTAACCAGTTCTAGACTATTGGATCTAGATAGCTATCAATACTCACAGTTCAGTGGATTTAGAGTAGTGAGATCAGATGTGAAGAAACTGCAGTCCAGCCTGGAGAGCTCAAGGTCACCTTCCACGTTGACCAGATGGGTTGGGATACCATATCGTGGAGGGTTGTTCCCTCAGATCTCTTCTCACCGCTGCTGCTGGACACTTACTGAATTTTATCCCATTAGCCTAAGTGGCTTAAGCGAGAGAGACTCTCAAACATTTTGTTTGAAAAAGGAACTCGGGGGAAAGTTGGTTTTATTAGTCTTATTAAACGTGGCCGGATATGTGAGAGCTTAAAGGGCCTTAAGAGCTCAGTGAATGGCTGGAGAGAGTATAGCAGGTGAGGCTCTTGCCTTGTCTGTGCTCCACTGACTTTGGTCCTTGGCAACCCATATGGTCCCCTGAGCACTGCTAGGAATAATTTTTGAGTGCCGAGCCTGGAACTTAAACCCAGAAATTGAAAAAAAAAAAAAAGTTTTTCCCCCATTCTCTCTCTTAGACATTGTGGTTTGCAATACAGATTCTGAGAAGTTATCTCACAGTGATTCAATAAAAATAAAAAAATAAAAAGTGTTTATATGGTAATACACCCAGGTTAGAGAGATAGTATAGTGGATGGGGCACTTGCCTTACACACAGTCAACTTAGGTTAATTTGCCACCACCCCATCTAGTGCCCCGTGCCCCTTTGCCCCACCAGGAGTAAGCCTTGAGCAGTGCCCGGTGTGGCATACTGCATTTACTATTGTTAGAAATCTTTAAGGTATTTATTTCTGGTTCTAAGAAGAGTAAAGGTAAAGGTAAAGGCCCTCCCGTTGATCGTCGATTTGCTTGAGCGGGCCCAGTAACGTCTCCATTGGAGACTTTGTTGTTACTGTGTCTGGCATATCGAATACTCTCGGTAGCTTGCCAGGCTCTCAGAGAGGGGCGGAGGAATCGAACTCGGGTCGGCCATGTTGGCCGCTTGTAAGGCGAACGCCCTACCCGCTGTGCTATCGCTCTAAGAAGAGTGAACGTAGTATTTTATTCTCATTTCTACATTTTCCCACTACTACATTTCTCGAAAACAATTATCACTGTATCACTGTCGTCCCGTTGTTCGTCGATTTACTCGAGCGGGCACCAGTAACGTCTCCACTCCTCCCAGCCCTGAGATTTTAGCAGCCTTTCCTGACTCGTCTTTCCCAACGATTGGAGGCTCTTTCAGGGTCAGGAGAATGAAAACTGTTATCGTTACTGTTTTTGGCATATCGAATATGCCATGGGGAGCTTGCCGGGCTCAGCCCTTGAGAAAGCAATTAAAGTTTTGTTAAATGTGTCTGACTTTTTTCTCCGAAGAGAAATAATAATAACTCCTGATCGAGAATTCATATAATTGTTGACTGTATCTTAATGTTGATTTTTAAGATATTAAAAAATTGGCCACGGTTTAATAGAATAAATTCTAGTTTGCTCTTAAAAAAATTTATTTTTCGCAATCCACTGGAACAAAATATCATGTTTTTATCTCATTTTGGGGGGGGTTCTGCCTTTGGCAGGAATTATTTAATTGTAGGCTTTATTCCTGTTATTAGTGTATTTTTCTTTGTGTGTGTGTGTGTGTGTGTGTGTGTGTGTGTGTGAAGCTGGGGATTTAGTTAATTGCAGGCTTTATTCCACCATTGCTGTGTGTGTGTGTGTGTGTGTGTGTGTGTGTGTGTGTGTGTGTTTTAGAGCCAGGCCTCAAATACTGAGAGCATGAATTCCATCACTGACCCTGCCACTGGATTTTTCTTCTCCGCTGGGAAATCCTCTCCATCCTCCAGGTTTTGGGGGAAACCTCTTTGCTCTTTTCCCTGAGTCACTCCCCCACCGGTGGCAGCATCCCCGTGAGAGCGGTTGAGATGGCGGGGATGACCCTGCTCTGGTGAAGAACATGAGTTTCTGGCGGCTCATTCCCTTCAGCCTCCCTTCCCAGGCTGCCAGGCCGCCCTGGGAGAGATGGGGGTCCAGCTTGTTCCATTCCTCCTGTTCGCCTCGGCCCATTTATTGGCCAGGAGTCCTCGAGTGAGAGGAGCAAGAGAAGGAGGCGTGTTGTGTGAATTTCCTCTGCAGTCAGTGAGGACGGCCAGTTCCCAGCCCAGGACCCTGGGCGCCCCCACGCCTCAGGCTCATCTGTAAAATGGGATCCTAGGTACCTGCTGTTGTCACGAGGGATGTTAGCATGCCTGCATGCCAGCTCTCCGGGCACCAAGGACAGAGGCTTGTCACCCTGGTGAATTGCTAGAATAAATACTTGCTGCTCTGTGGGTACAAAGTGTGGCAGGGAGCAGAGTGATTTGACAGCGGGCTGGGGGGAAGGAAGGCGAGGCTCTGCCAGATGGTCTGCTCGGGTCTGCTCCTTGATTCATGTCACCTTGCCCGTGTGACGAGACAGTCTGGAAAGGGAGAGTTTATGGGCAGACGGAAAACAGCCAAAACAGAGCAGGGTGCTGGCCGTCACAGCCAGAAACCGTGTCCGCGCTGCTGTCTCCGATGGGTGCTGGCTCTTCCCCGCACGGGGTCCCGGGTCCCCTCATCCAGTCCACAGTCGCCTCCCCTGCTGAGTCCTCTGGGTCGCAGGCCTGCACCCCTTGGCTCATGACCCAGCTCCTTCTGCTTTTGCCTCTGGAGCTTCTGGGCTTTCAGTTTACTTCCAAATCCCTGATACCTCCTTGCAGGTGCTTAAATACTATCAGCATCATAAATCCCCCCACCTTAAATTGACAAGGACCCTGTGACTATAACAACTGCACGATGCCTCGGGCCCCGGGTTCTATTGATAGCTGAGGTTGTTTTCCCGCTGAACATCAGAACATTAATCTTGATGACTGTGTATTGGTTTTCACTGCCATTGGGAGATGCCCACGTCAGAGTCCTGTGATCAAGACCACCAGAAGTAGGAAAGGGGTGGGAATGGGTTCCACTGAGAACTTGGCTAAGGCTCCTAACAGCCTTGCTGTGGGCTAGGCCTCTGAGCACTGGCATCTGCTGACTCGTTGTACCTCTGGCCTTTATGAACTTGCAGTGATGGCTGTTACTCCCTCAAGGCTCATAGTCCGGTGCAGTTCCTACTCCAGGAATTAGCCCCAAGAGATTTGCCTCAAGCATTGCAAAGATGTCTGAGTGAGAGCAGACCCCTCACAACCCCTCCAACTGCCCTGAGGCTCAGGGCATGAGCCAGGGGAAGCCCAGAGCTGAGCCTGTCTCTGGTACCCGCCCTCATGGCACAGGTGGGCACCCTGGTATTGTCCTGCAGATCAGGCTCCCCTCGGGCCAGACTTGCCCTTGCCACTTGCTGCATGTGTCATTTCCATTTCCGGGGCAGGTATGTCATTTTCATTTAACAACTTCTATTGTGTGTGTGTCTGTGCGTGTGTTGGGGGATCGGGGAGGGCAGAGCTGAGGTCCCCCCAAGAAGTGCTTAGGGGGCCTGAACCTCCCCTGGCAATGTGGCCTCCCTGTGCAGGCCTGAAGAGTCACTGCTGGACCCAGGTGTGCTCAGGAAACTGTGGCACTTGGGGCTGGAACTCAGGCTCCCACGTATGCCACGTATGTGCTCTCTCCTCTGCGCGTCTGTCTCCACAGCCCCTCACTCTCTCTTCACTCGTCTATTCCAGTATTGTTGCGAACGTCATGGGGGCCATCACAGTTCCCAGGACACACTAATGAGCAGCTCCGCTTGTGTGCAGTGTAGATGTTCCGGATTTTAAAGCCAGGCCCAGTTACTCTGCCCATCAGCCTATCCACAAGTACTTGTCTTTAATAAGTACTCCCATCATGGTGCTGTTATCGTGAACCTGGCCCAGTTAAACATCTGCTGTGTTCTCCAGCACCCGCTCTGTTTACATTGCTCCTGATCTCCCTAAATACTTCTATGGTTTTGCCCAGATCACACCAACATATTTTGGCATCCTAAGTGTCTTCCCCTCTGTACTGTCATTCCAGACCCTCAACTTAACCCTTAATCCTATCTACCAGCCCCTCCTCCTTTCTATTTATTTTGGGCACCAGGCAGCTCTGTCCCCAGCTTGTAGAAATGTTCCTGCTCCAGTTTTGGTGACCAATTTCCATGCAGTTATCCATGCTAGGTTGAGCTCCTGTTTGTAGAGGCAGAAAGAAGCCTCAGTAATTCTGATTCTGTTTTTATTTAAAGATGGGAATCTTTAAATAAAGCCTTATTCCCCTTAGGAATCTTTAAATAAAGGTGCTCACCTGTCGCGTTCACTGCGAATTTTTTTTTTAAGTGCTAATGTATCCTTCTCTGTTCCTGTATTTTGGACACGTCCTTCAATGCTTCAGTCGGCCTCCCAGCCCTGCTGCTTCAGTGCCCTCTCTCCCTTGGGTCTGAGAAACTGTCAACAAGGTCCTCGCCGAGCTTTGCTGTTGAACGCGCAGCCCTGGCCCTACAGCTCAGGCCTTGCCCTGGAGCCCCTGAGAAGGGCAGGTTCTCGGCCGCACTCCAGACTCAGGGCCTGGGTCTGCAGCTTAACCCGGCTCCCCGGCGACTGTGGGCATGTGAAGACCCACAGAGCACTGGTGTGGGAGGCTCAGTTAGACTCAGTTAAGCTGACTTTCTTGGCATGAATGCTCCCTGGGCACACGTGTGTGTATGTGTGTGTGTGTGTGT